TGTGTATTTGACGATATCATCAAAGACTGCATATCTCCAGATTGTTTTCTTAGATGAGATAATTAAATGTTTTTGTTGCTTATCCCATTATTACTTGCAGCTCACTGTTTATACATGGGCATTCTGTTACTTGCCACCAAATGCACTTCTAATAAATCTGACCCTAGATAGACCCACGGCTAATGCCTATGCTATTTTTCTAATAATAGAGCCTTTCTTCACTATTATTTTCTTGCTTCTTCTTTAATGAGAATATAATTTATTATATATACTATTTTCCAACTTAACTAACAGAAAAGTAGCATTTATAATAATATATTAGTATAATAATAAGGTTGTTTTGTGCCAGTATGGTGTTTACATATAATACCTTTTAACAAGGTCCACAAGAATATATGAAGGGAAGGACCAACTATGGATTTTTAAGACAAGATCTAAAGTCTGTGACTTCCCAGCTCTCTCACACCACACTCACTTCACTTTCAAAGAAAGAGTTCCACTTATTCTTCAAATAACTTAAAGCTTTCATCAGGAAATAAATGAAGCACAACAGATTCTTACTGAAAGATTACAGATGCCTCATGTACTTTTTCAGATGTTCTTTTTTATTTCAATTTTTAAAAGCTCAACAGTAACTTAGAATCATCTCTTTTGAAAATACCATGTGGTAGTTGGAAGAAGATAAGTTTTGTCATTCTTTCATTCATTTTGTTAATTAGTTCATTCAATGATGTTTTAAGCACCCCAATCATCGAGGTTTAGCAATAGATTATAGGAATAGAAAGGTGAATATGACAGATCTGTTGGGGAATGGAGCTAATGGACAAGAAATTCTGAATGCAATGAGTATGTTAAAGGTCTACTGGGAATCCAGAGGAGAAGACTCCATCCTGATTCCGGGTTGTCAGGGAGAGCTCTTCTGTGGGATAATGCTTTTGATACTTGTATTAATTTCCTACTGCTGCTGTAACAAATTACAACAAACTCGGTGTCTAAAATAAATTTATTATCTTACAGTTCTGGAGGTCGGAAGTCCAAAATAGGTCTTAATGGACTAAAATCAAGTGTCAGCAGGGCTGTGCTCCTTTCTGGAGGCTATAGGGGAGAATCTATTTTCTTGCCTTTTCCGGTTTCTAGAGACCTCCTGCATTCGTTGACTCGTGATCCCCTTCCATCTTCAAAGCCGATGATGGGTAGTCAGGTCCATTTCACATTGCATTACTCTGCCTCTGGTTTGTCTGCCTCCTTTTCACGTGAAAAAGGATGCTCGTGATTACATTGGACCCATCTGTGTAATGCAGGATAAATTTATTAAGGTCAGGTGATTAATAATCTTAATTCCACCTGCATCTTTACTTCCTCTTGCCATGTGATGTAACATATTCACAGGTTCTAGGGGTTAGGACATGGACATCTTCGGGGGAGATCATTATTCTTTTTGCCACATTGCTTGAAGAATGAATGGGAACTATCTAGACAATAGGAAATATCTAGAAGAGAATGAAGCGGATTTTAGCTTGGTGTACAGGAAGGACTTGAACGGTACACATGAAGACAGACTGTGGCACATACAATGAGAAGCCCAGTATGAAAAGTCTGATAGAAGAAGGAGATGAGTTTCCAGTGAGTTCTGTCCATGTTTTGCAACCTCTGTTAGTGTCCATTCTGCTCACAGTTCCTTGGTAGATATTCTCTGCCATACCTTGCAAAGTCTTTTCCTAAACATGAGCAGCTTACTATTTGGTCAACAATTCAAGGGAAACAGATATGGTTTTTCTGGGCTCCTTCTCGGAATTTCTCTTTCCTTTCCAGTAGCCAGCTCTTCAAATTCTAGCCACCTGAGCAGAATAATTCCTCACAGATGCTCATGCCCTAATACCTGGAAACTGTGAATATGTGACGTTACGTGGCAAAAGATATTTTGCAGATGCAGATAAGGTGACAGACTTAAAAGAGGGAGAATATTCTGGATTATACAAGTATATCCAATCTAATCACGTGAGCCATTAAAAACAGAGCACTTTCTCCAGCTAGAATCAGGTAGATGTGACAGAAGTCAGAGAGATTTGAGTGTGAAAAGTACTTGACATACCCTTGCAGCCTTTTAAGATGGAAGGAGGGCAATGTGACCAGGAATTCAGACGACTTTAAGAAGCTTAGAGAAGCTCCTAGCTGTCCAACCAGGAAACAGGGACCTTAGCTCTTTAACCTCAAGGAACTAAATTTTGCCAACAATCTGAATGAGCTTGGAAGTGCCTTCTTCCCAGAGCCTAGAGAAAGGAAATTGTCCCTGCCAACACCTTGATTTTGGCTTGTGAGATCCTAAGCAGAGAATTGGCTGATCCACACTGTGCCCAGATTTCTGATCCAAGGAAACTGGAATATAAAAAATGGGCATTGTTTAAAGTCACTGACTTTGGTAATCTGTTACAGCAACGATGAACTCCAAACTCTTTTCCCAGCAAGACCAACACTCTGGGCTCCATTTCTCTGTAGGGTGGTACGGAAAGTGCCCCCAGGGGGAATGTGGATTTCACTTCATGTTTTTCCCTTCTCTCAAGGATCATAGCTTTATATTACTATTGCTTAAAGCCTGAAAATAGTGACTTTGTGTATTTTGTTCAATTTTATATCGTTTACAGCAGGATGGTAAGTCCAATACCGGTTACTCCATCATGCTGGAACCATACATTCAAATAGATTTCTGATTTAGGGTAAGGCATTTGTTGTTTTGTTTGTTCTTTGTTTTATGAGGGCTTTTGGAGACATGTCTTTGTTTCCAGGGTTCTGAAATTTCATGATGACCTGACTTGTGGGTGTTTTTTTGTTCATTGTGCTGGACAAATGGTAGGTGCTATCCATTTGGAAACTCGTGTCCTTAAATTCTGGGCAATTTCTTTGAAATATTTACTCAATAATGTCCTTCTCATCGTACGACATGTTCTGTTTCTTGAATACATGTTGCAATTGGTTGCTAGTATTCAAATCTTCTATATCCTTATTGCTGTTTCTGTTTAGCTCTTCTATCAATTGCAAAGAGGTAGGTGTTAAAATATCCAACTGTGGTCATGGATTTATCCATTTCTTCTTTCAGTTCTGGCAGATGTTACTTCGAGTATTTTGAAGCTCACTGAGGTGTGTATACATATAGGAATGTTACTATTAAGAATTAGTATCTTGGGGCCGGCCTGGTGTCATAGCAGTTAAATGCGTACATTCCACTTAGGTGGCTGGGGTTCACCGGTTCGGATCCCCAGTTGGACATGGCACCACTTGGCAAGCCATGCTGTGGTAGGCTTCCCCCATATAAACTAGAGGAAGATGGGCATGGATGTTAACTCAGGGCCAGTCTTTCTCACCAAAAAGAGGAGGATTGGCAGCAGATGTTAGGTCAGGGCTAATAGTCCTCAAAAAAATAAAACAAAAAGAACTAGTATCATGTATTGAGAAATTTCCTTCTTGATCTTTAGTAATACTTCTCTTCTTAAACTTTACTTTGTCTAATACTGAAGTAGCCTCATCAGCTTTTGATGAATTTCTTTATCATTTCTTGTAGTGCAGGTCTGCTGGTGATAAATTCTCTTAGCTTTATTTTATTTGCAAATGTCTTTATTTTACCCTCCTTTTTGAAGGATAGAGTTCTGGATTGACAGTTTCTATTCCTTTCAGCACTTTAAAGGTATTATTCCCTTGTCTTTGGTCCTTCATTATTTTTTGATGAGAAGTCGATCGTCATGTCATTGATTCTCTGTGGTTCTTTTGAAAACTGTGGGCTTTCAAGGTTTCTCTTGTTAAAAAAATGATTAAAGAAGATGAATTAGATAATACAAACAAACTTTATTTAATGCTTCATGAAGTGAACTGTTTCCTTTCAGAGAACTGCAAAATGGGGTCAAAAGCAAGAAGCTATCATAGGATAAAGAATAAAGAACAAGGAAGAGACAAATAGAAATATCTGATTGGCTCAGGCCGTATAGTCAGGCTTGTCTGGGGTGAGAAGTCCCAGAGTTGGCTTGGTGTTTGGGGATTGGCTGACTGTATATACTGTGTTTCTGGTGGAGCAGAGCATTTATAGGGACACAAAAATTATCTAAGTTTTGTTTTGCTGATGTGGCACCTCTGGCAGGAGCGACTCCGTCTTGGGCCTAGAAAGTTACTTCAACACTTTTTATCTTTGCTGTTCAGCAGTTTGACTATGATATGTCTAGGTAAGTATTTCCCTGTATTTACCTTCTTGCTAAGCTTCTTGCTTTTATATGCTTATGTTTTTCACCACATGGTGGAAATTGTCTGTTTATTTTTCTTCAAATACTTTTCTGCTCCATTCTCTCACTCATCTCCTCTTGACACTTCAATTACGTGTATGATAGACTTTTTAATATTATCCAGAGTTTCACTGAGGCTCTGTTAATTTATTTCAATCTATTTTTTCTCTGTCCTTCAAAGTGGATCATTTCAATTGCTTGAACTTCAAATGTATTGATCTTTTCTACTGCCATTCATAACTTCTATTAATCTTCTCCAGCGAAATTTTCATTCTCAATTATTGTACTTTTCATTTCTAGAATTTCCGTTTGGTGTTTTTCATAATTTCCAATTCTCTTTTGAGATTCCTTATTTGTTTAATCTTTATGACCATTTTTTTTCCCACTAAGCCTTTGAGCATATTGCTGTTTTAATGTTTTAAAATTTCTTTTCCTGCTAATTTTATCATCTGGTCATCTCAGATTCCCTTCCTAGTGATTTTTTCTTGACAATGAATCACACATTGATTTGCTAAGGTGAGTCTGGGGAAGCCTGAAGTGTTTACCAAGCCCCTCAAAGCTGGGAAACTCGTACTCCAAACTGTCTCCCCTGTGGTGAATAGCAGCTGACATCTCTACTGACTTCTTTCAGCTTGCCAGTTGATGTTTTCTACTGATCCTTTTAGAGTCTCCCCTGTGCATATGCAGATTTTCTGTGCTTGCATGTTTTCTGATGTTCTCCTGCTCAATTTCCAGTCTCAGATACATCCTCTGATATCTCAAGCTTGAGTTCTAACCTCTGCAACATGAGAATTGATGAGTGTCTTCGGAGTAAAGCCGATGTTTACATAAAAATTCATTTGGCTGAGGATGCTTCACTTCCTTCAAAGGTCAGTTTCTCTCCAGTGTCTCTCTGCTTTTAGTTACTCTCCAGTACCTTCAAATAGTTTTTAAAAAAATTTTTAACAGAGTTCACAGTTATTATCTGTGAGAGGGTTAGTTGAATACTAAATGCTGCCTCTAGCAATGGCTTTTATTTATTTTTTTAAACCACTTATTGAGGTATGATTGACACATAAAAAGCTGTACATCTTTAACGTATATAACTTAATGAGTTTGGAAATAAGTATACACCTGTGAAACCATCACCACAATCTGTGCCATAAGCACATCCATCACCTCTAAAGGTTTCCTCCCACCGTCCTAATTATTATTATTATCAACTATTATTATTATTATTTGTGTGCGTGTGGTAAGAACACTTAATGTAAGATCTACCCTCTTAGCAAACTGTTAAGTATACAATCCGGTATTATTAACTCTAGGCACTGTGCAGTACAGTAGATCTCTAGAACTTATTCATTTTGCATAACTGAAACTTTGTACCCTTTGGCTAATACCTCCTCATTTCTCTTTCTCCCAAAAGTTATTTTTAATTACATTTTTCTGAGTCTTACTAATGTATTGAAAATACCTTTTATAATAATTTTAATTCCAACAATGTTATTATAGTTTATCTAGGAGTTTATCAGTAGATTCTTTGGGGTTCTGCATAGACAATACTGTCATATGTGAAAAATTAAATTTTATTTCTTCCTTTTAAGTTTTTGTAACTTTCAATAATTTTAATGATTTTTATTTATTTATTTATTTTTTGAGGAAGATTAGCCCTGAGCTAACATCTGCCGCCAATCCTCCTCTTTTTTGCTGAGGAAGACTGGCCCCCGGGCTAACATCCATTCCCATCTTCCTCTACTTTATATGTGGGAAGGCTGCCACAGCATGGCTTGACAGATGATGTGTAGGTCTGCGCACTGGATCCAAACCAGCTAACCCTGGGCCACCAAAGCAGAACGAGCAAACTTAACTGCTACGCCACCAGGCCAGCCCCAAAATGTTTGACCTTAACATATTGCTAAGAATAGTGGGATAACAGCAGTGGTAGTAGTGCATATATTGTTTTTGATGACAAAAGAAAAAATTTCAACATTTAAACATTGTGTTGCTTGCCGTAGCTTTTTATAAATATTCTTTATCTAAGTAAGCTTTCTTTTCTTTTTTATAATGAATGAATGTTAAGTGTTTCTTAGTAAAGCTTTCTTTTCTTTTTTATAATGAATGAATGTTAAGTGTTTCTTAGTATCTATACAACTCATCACTATTTTTTCTCTTTTAGTCTTTTAATGTGGTAAACTACATTAATTGCTTGTTTAATGTTAAGCCAATTTTGCATTCCTGGGAAAATCCCAATTAAGTCACAATATAGTATCTTTTTCTTTCATTGCTAAATTAGGTTCATTATTGTATTTTTAGGATTTTCACATCATGTTCATGAGTGATATTTCCCTGTATTTTTCCTTTCAGGCTCTTATTAAGCTTTGTTATCAAGGTTATATAGTTCCTTACAATGAGTTGAAGACTGTCTACTTTTTTTCTATATTTTGTCATGGTATATATAAAAATGCCGTTAAGTTGGTTTGGGGATTTAGGGTTCACCAGTAAAACTATCTGGAAAAATATTAAACTATTAGTTCATTTTCCTTAATGTTAATAGGATTTTGGGGGTTTCTATTTATTTTTGAGTAAATTTTGGAAAATTAAATTTTTTTATGAACTTGTCAATTTCACCTAAATTTTTTTATGTTTATGGAGATAAAGTAGTCATAACATCCTTTTATATCTGTGTAATACTGGCTGCATTTATAATTATGTGGACTTTTCTTTTTCATTACTAATGTTGTTTATTTATGCCTTGTTTTCTTTCTGTCATGGTATGTTTTGGCAGAAGTTAGTCATATTCATTGCAGATTTCAAAGAGCTAATTATTCATTTTGTTTATCTTTTATAATATGCATATTGCATTTTGTTCAATTTTCCTCTTATGTTTATTGTTTCATTTCTTCTTATTTTCTTTGGGCTATTCTTTATCAGTTGTTTAATTGTTAATCTCTTTATGTGGATGTTTAATGTGTAATTTTCTGTCTCTCTCCTTTCCTAATAGAAGCATTTGAAACTGTACATTTTGTGCATATTCATCATAGTTGCATCCTATAAATTTTTTATGTAGTCTTGTCATTATAACCCAATTCTAAAATTTTTTCCTTTTTTTTTTGTGAGGAAGATTGACCCTGAACTAACATCTTTTGCCATTCTTCCGCTTTTTGCTTGAGGAATATTGGTGCTAAACTAACATCTGTGCCAATCTTCCTCTACTTTTTCTATGTGGGACACCACCACAGCATGGCTTGATGAGCGGTCTGTAGGTCTGTGCCTGGGAGCCGAACCTGTGAGCCCCAGGCTGCTGAAGCAGAGTGTGCAAACTTAACCACTACACAACAGGGCCAGCCCTTCTATTTTTAATTATGATTTTTCCATGATTCATAAATTTTTAGAAGAGTGTGATCTTTGAATTATTTGATTTTTAAATTGGTTTTCTTATGGACAGAGGAAAACAGCTGATCTTTATAATACAAATCTTCTCAATCTCTTGAAACTTGCTTCATGACCCAGTGATCAATTTTCATAACATTCTAGGCATCCTTGAAAGAACATGTTTTCCGTCTATCACGTGCTTTTAGTTCAAATTTGTAAGTTATGTTGTTTGTTCTCTGACTGACTTTTACTGCGTTGCTTGATTTATAAGTTAAAGGGAGAAGTGTATGAAAATCTAACCATGATGGGTGTTTTCTTGATTTCATTTTTTAAATTTCTGTCAGTTTGCTTCATATATTTTGGAGCTGCCTCTTATGCATCTAAGTTTAGACATGCTAAATCTTTCTGACCTACATTATTTCTTGAAATGGGATGTTTTGGCCATAAAGTTTATATTTTCTATTAATAAAAGCACACAAGCTTTATTTGATTAACTTTTGCCTGATGTACGCTCTTTATTTTCTTTCTTTATCATTATATTTCAAATGGATGACAATAGTTGGATTTTTTTTTTAACTTCAATTTAATAAGGTTGTCTTTAAATGCAGCATTTTTCTCCATTTACATTTATTATTATCACTCCAATTTTGGATTTGTTTCTTTCATCTTATTTCTAGCTTTCTATTCATTCTACCTTTTCTATGTTTTCTTTGCTTTTCTATTTTTCCTTTTATATTTTATTTTAGTTTGTATTTTTTTCTTCAATTTTTAAACCTCTATTTATGTAGAGGATATATATTCAATGTGCTTTTAATTTATTGTTATCCTAGACATTTTAATATCTGTACTTAACATTTCAAAATCAAAAGTCAATTAACAGCTTTTCATTCTTCCTGAACAAGTTGAAGATCTTAGAAGGTTAATGCTCATCATGCTTCTTCCCTCTCACATGTGACTTTTATTTCTATCCCATTTGATTTTAACTTTGCCTAACAGCATTACTGATATTTCATAAAGGCAATGTTTGTTTAGATTAACCTACATATTTATCTTGTTTCAGGTCAGTACTCCTTCATTTCAGATGTCCATTTTGGATTACTTCCTTTCTGTTTGAAAACTTTAGAATTTCTTGGCTCTACTAGTGGCAAACTCTTAAGTTTTTGGGTGTTCAGAAAGACGCGTATATTTTACCCTTGTGCTTGGAAGTTGTTTTCTCTGGTAATCTAAGTCTAGGTTGACAGTTATTTTCTCTAAGCACATTTATTTGTTGTCTGGGTTTCATTCCTGCTACTGAGAAGCCAGCTTTCAGTCTCACTGCTATTCCTATGTAGGGTATTTGTCTTTTTAAAAATTTTCCTGACTGTTCTTAAAGCCTTCTCTTTGTCTTTGGTGTGCTTTTTCATTACATTGTTATAGTAGTACAGATTTTTTAAAAAATTTATTTATTCTGTTCTGGATTCACTGAGTGTCCTGAATCAGCAGAATGGTATCCTTCAAAATTTTTGGAAAAATCTCAGTAATTATTTTTTTCAAAAATTTTCTTTCCCATTCTATCTTTTCTCATATTCTGGAGAACTCTTATGTTCAGAAACTTCTCTGTGTTTTCCATCTCTCTTAAATTCATTTTTATATTTTTTATTTCTTTGTCTCTGTGTGCATCATACACACACAAATAATAGTGATATATTTAGAGAAAGAAAGATATATATGCATATAATGTGTAATCAACTATTTAATTGTCATCAGCTTTAAAATTTCAATTAGTATATTTTTTATTTCTGTAAATTCCATCTGGTCATTTTTATAACTTATTTCCTATTTATGTTGTTGGTTCTGCCTTTTGTTCTTAATATTTATTTTATGTTCCTATTTTTTATGTCTGACTATTTTATACTTCATGTTTTAAAATATATTTTAAAATATATTAGACATATCTGTGTTGATACAAACTCTTTGATGGCAGGGGGTTTTGATTATTTTACTCATGCTGAGTTTTCAGAGCATAGAAGAGTGCTAAATAGAAGACACTTGGTAATTCTTTGTTGGGTAAATTAATGATAAAATATACTCTGTCTGATATTTCTAACAGTGAAGTATTTGTGTGTCTGACTTCCTGCCTGCTTTCTCTTGATTCTTGTTCATGGTGCTTTGTTTACAGGTAAGTTTTGTTATTCTTGATTTAAGCTCATTTTCCTTAGAACTTTATTTATGAAATGTGTCGTCCTCTCCAGAGGACATGTGTTTATCTTTGCCAGCTTCTTGGATGCACTACCAATTTGGACCAACTTTAAATTAAATTATTGACTTCGTGTTTCTTAGGCTACCTAGGTGGTATGAATTCAGGTTGCAAAATCTGCATGTAGGAAGTTTTTCTTTGTTTCCTTTTCCCCTTCTCTTCCCATCATCAAAGTTCAAGGCAGACAATTTCATTACTAGTGGTTTTGGGAAGACATATTTTCAGTCTACCTATAGATTGAAAGTTAATTCTCTAGATCAGCACTGTTCAACAGAAATGTAA